CCGCGGCGGCGCCGGTGCCGCCCGCGAGCGCGCCCGCGGCGGCGCGGAGGGTCCCGACGCGTTTGAGGGTGCGGGACGCCTGCAGCTGCGCGGCAGCTGCCGCGCCGCCGCCGACGAGCGCCTCCTCGAGCGCGCCGGCCGGCACGACGCCGACCCCCGACAGCGCCGCCGCGAGCGCTTCGCCGTCCTCAAGCTTCTGCCGCCACCGCTCCTCCTCGCCCACCTGCCGCGACGCCTCATCAAGCGCGGCCTGCTGCTGCTGCCACTTGGCGCCGGCGCCGGCGCCGACAGGCGGGGCGATCGAAAGGGCGGCCTGCAAGAAGTGCTCCGCCATACAATCCGACCCGTCCAGATCAATGAAGTCGTCGGAGCGCCCCGACCCCGCCGGGTTGAAAGCCTCGATCGGCTCTCTGAATTTCGGGAGCTGAAGGAACATTGACGACTGCTGCGCCGCACTGCCGCCGCCGCTGCCGGCGCCTTGGCCGCCGCCCGGCAAGGGCGCGGCCGCGGCGGGCGCGGCCGCCGCCGGCGCGCCCAGTGAGCCGGAGAACTGCAGGCCAGCGCCGCCGGCGCCGTCGAGCCGCTGCAGGCTCAGCTCCTGCTGCAGCACGCGCGTGAGGGACGCGAGAGACGCCCCAGACAGCGCGCCCAGCGCGGTGGAGGCAGCCGCCAGGCCGTAGTCGGCCTGCAGCGTCTTCTTGAACGCCCACTTGCACGCGTTGATGCAGGCGGCGAGGGCTGTGGCGGGGAGCGGCGCGCGGGGCAGGTGGCCGCGGCGGCAGCAGGACGCCATCTCCTGCGGGGGATGAGGCACGGGGTTGGGGCGGATTTGGCGGTTGGTACTGCATCACGTCTGTTGCAGGGCATAGGCAGCACAATTGTGTGCAAAGTGCGGCATAATGATGTGCAAGGACGAACCGCGTCGTGGCGCCACCACATCGCATTGCAGCATAAACGGCATCGGGCGGGAAGGCTACACGCGATCCCCAAGCTGCCCGAGCGCACACACACACACACACACACACACACACACACACACACACACACACACACACACACACACACACACACACACACACACGCACGCGCGCGTGCACCTCCAACGCCGCCTCGGCCGCGCGCAGCGCTCTGTCCACCACGTCCACCCCCCCATACGCCTCCAGCAGCGCCGCGCGGCACGTCCCGCCGCCGGCGCCGCCGCCGCGGATGGCCTCGAGGTCCCCCGTCAGCGATGATAGCAGCTGCAGCAGCTCCGCAATTCGCGCGGTGGCCTGCGGGCGCGTCCAAGGTTGCGGGCCTGGGTTTCAGGGGCGGCGCGGGCTTGTAAAGGGGCATCGTGCAACCCTGCACTCCTCAGCCGTTGCAACAGCATCATCTGTGACGAGCCCCGTGCCTGCCGCGCGCCTTGCCCTGTGTTCAACAGCACTGGTCAATGGCCGCAGGGCTGCGGCGGCGGTGGCGAGAGCGGGCCGGCGCACCTGCACCGCCGGCCCCGGTGGCACGCCCATGCCGCGCCGCGGGAGCGGGAGGAAGACGCGCCATCCGCGGACGCGCCCGATGTACAGCTCGTAGCCCGTGTTGACCAGCTGAGAGTGCACGACCCTCAGGCTGCCCGCGACGGATGACGACAGGGTGGCCACCTGTTGTTTGGGGTTCAGTGGGCGGGTGGGGAGCGGGGCAGGTTCAGGGGCATGAGCGTGTTTCAATAGAAAAGTCAGAGCGGGGCAGAGGGGTCATTTGCAACATCTAAAACTTTCTTTGGTGTGTGATGTTGAATGTCTGACGTCAATTATGCATATCAATACAAGTAATGATTTACGTTACTGTCATCGTCATTGACACGCAGCGTCAGCGATATTCTTATTCTATACGGGCAAGGCTGGGAATTCAGCAATCTAGGATAGGGCGGTGCGGCGGCATGAATGGGAGCGGCGGAGCAGCTCTGGGGCGCCGCGGCTGGCCTGGCCCTGCGGCTGCATCATCAGGGGCGTGCGCCTCGCGCCCGCCGCCCTAGACGCTTGGCTGAGCCTCCCGCCGCGCCCTCTTGGCACGCCCCGCCCAGCCCACCTGCGCCTGGAGCGCCGCCGCCGCGTTCTCGGCGGCGTCCCGCCGCAGCTCCTCCTCTTCCAGCCCGGCGGCGTCGTCGAACGATTGCGCGCTCAGCTCGCCGCCGCCGCTTGAGAATGCGTCCGGGCTCGACGCGCCGCAGCCGCCCCCGCCGCCGCCGCCGCGCACGGGCGGTGACTGGGCGGCCGGCGCATTGTCGCTGCCGCCAGTGGCGGCGGCGTCGGGCGCGGCCAGATCTGCGTTTGCCTTGGACAGTGCGCGTGTGAGGCCGAGGAGGCCCTCCAGGGCGTCGGCGATCTGATAGTTGACCTGCGGAGGGGAGGCAAGTTTGTGGGTGTGCCCAACGATTCTGGATCGTGGCGTTTCGAGTTTGTGCATGGAGGGCTAGAGGCAGCGGGGCAGAGAGGCCGGACGGAGGTGGCTGGAGCTGGCCTTGCGCAAAACAGCAGCAGCGACGCCTCGCACGGAGGCACCCCGAGCTGAGTGAAATTCAGGTAGCGGCGAGCGGGCCGCGCGGGACGTCCAAGTGTGCATTGTTCAGGCAGGCGTGCGCAAAACAGGCGCGCCGCCGCCATGGCCACCGTCCCTGCCGGGCGCGGCCCCGCCCCCGCCTCCAGCCGCGCCGTCGCCGCAGTTTGGTGCGCCGCGGGGCAATTTTGGGCGCAGCTGCCCACCTCCTTGGTGCTGTTGGCCTGCATGAGCAGAAGGAACAGCGTCATGCACACGATGCCGAAGCACAGCCCCGCGCAGCGCCATGAGGCGGAGGCGATGATGAAACCGTCCTCTTTTTCTTGGAGCAGCGCGACTGGGGGGGGGGGCGAAGGGGACAGGGGGGGATAGTCAGGGGTACGTGCAGCTGCACAAAGCTGCTTGCTGGGTAGTGGAGGCAGGAGGGGTGGGGGGTGGGGAGTTTTGCCTGAAGCTCCCTCGGAATCGCTGCCCAACTCGCTCTCTCTCCCTCTCTCTGCCAGGGCGCCCACGCCCAACGCCCCGAGGAGACCCTGGAGTCCTTCACCACTCCCGCTCCTGCTGTGCGCGATCACACGCACTTAGTGCACGAGCGCAAGCACGGGCGCGCCGCAATTTTCGTCACCTGAAGTCTCCGCTGCCCCCGTTCAGCACCCGCACGCATGCCTTTGGATAGTGAGGCTGCCTCCCCAGCATGAGCACACCCCTTGAACACAGCCACACACACACACACACACACACACACACACACACACACGCACACACACACACAAACACACACACACACACACAAACACACGCCCCCCCCCCACACACACACATGCAAACGCACATGGCACATGCACACATCAACACACACACACACACACACACACATCCGCATGCACGCACGCATGCGCACCCACAAACACACGCGCACCCTGAATACCACTCACACACACACACACGCAGCAGCCCCACCCACGTGAGAAGGCGACTATGAGGGCCAGCATCCCGGCGTACTCCCCGTCCACGAGGTACACGCTGTACCGCAGCGCGCACACCGCAAACGCGTACGCCGGCACGGTCACCAGCACCAGCCACGGCTTGTGCTGCAGGGCGACCCACACGAATATCACGGCGGACACGACGGTACCCAGCAACCTGGGCGACGCGGTGGTTGGAGAGGTGTTTGATCGGTGTTTGATGATTTTGTTTTCCAAGCAACCGGGGGGTGCGCGGGCCCGGACGGGTTTGTGGCGGGCGTGCATCCAGAGCAGCATACATGCGGACTGGTAGGGCTTGCCTGCGCACACGCTGGTGCAAAGAGGGCCGGCCGCCTACTCCAAAGCCCTTTCGCCGCCGCGAGGCAATTCGACATACACTCGGGCATGCAAAGGCGAACTTGTCGCGAGGCGCGTTCAGCGCGTGCGGTGTCAGCCCCACACCTCTGGGTGCCCTTCATGACACTCGTGCCCATGAACGGGGCGGTCAGAGCGTTGGCGGTGAGCACAGCAAACTGGGGCGCATGGACGGACGATGAGCGTAATCGTTGGTGGGTGGCCCGGGGTGAGTTTTGGCGACGGTCGCAGTCCAGGTTGGCGTGCAGTGTTGGGGCCCAATGTGGCGCTTGAGGGCGGGGCAGGGGCGCTGAACCAGGCAATAACCGGGACAGAAAATCGCGGCAGGGCCCGGCTGAGGCGGCTGCGCGCGGCGGGAACTTTGGGAACAGGCAGCGGATTTCGGCGCGCACCAGTCCTGTGTAGGCAACTGTGCGGGTGCCGTTGACGGCCTTGCCGTCGAGGGCCCCTAGGGATAGGCCGCCCATGCCCGCCGCCATGAAACTGAAGACGATCGCCGTCCCCGTGGCCGGCACGGACATGCCGGCGGCCTTCCGGAGCCTTGAGGGATTGAGGGATTGGCGTTGCATGGGCAGGTGCTGCGGGTGCCTGCCCTGCGGATGGCCCCTGTTGGCGCGGGGTCAGCGCCGCCACGCAGGCTGCTTGTCGATCTTAGATTTGCAACGCACAGCCCTCGGGATTGAAAACGGCAGCGTGTCGGCCGGGCAGCTGGGGAGCGACAGCAGCGCAGTCGTGTGGTTCGCCGCCGCCTCATCGCGGCGTGCGTGCCCACCGGCTCACGACGGCCTCCGGCAACATAGCGCTCTGCTGATCTCTGTTATTGAGCCCACCGGCGCGCTATCCAAGACGTGGCCGGCCAGGTCGCATCATCGTCTCAAGTTTGGGCTCCTGAGACCGCGGCGTCCTGTTCCTCAACCCCGGTGTATCAGAAGCGTGGCACGGCGGCTGCTTCTTCCAGTTTCCTAGGTTGCTCTCCACCGGCTGACTGTCAAAGATCACGGAATCCGGGCACCCGACACTCCATCCGTGCTGCGATGGAGTGTCCCACGAGCTTGACAGTGTCGGGCTGAGGAGTCGATTCGTAAGATGCGACATCGCATTGGCTGTTTTCTTATGTAAGCGAATTGGATCGTTTACCCTAGGGCCGCACACCTGCTGTGTACTCCGGTAAAGCCCCAAGACGGGCTGACAGCGCAGTTCTCCAGGAAATGGGAGCTCCCTTGGGCTCGCTGAAGCCGTCACACGAGTTGACAGACGCGCAGCAGCGGCGTGCAGACGTGCGGTTGGTGCACGGCCCGCCGCCACTGCCGCGATGGATCCGCTTCGGCACGCGGATGGCGGTGGTCACGGCGTCGCTGTCTGCCGCTTTTATGTGGCGCGACAGCTGGGTCCCTTCAAGGTGAGCCCGTGTAGCCCCGCATGTCCTGCCCATGCCCGGCATTGGGCTCGTGTCACACATTTGGGAAGCATTCGGGAACTTCTGGGTTTGGCCCCCCCACACCGTCAGCGCTCGCCGCAGCCCGGCAAGCAGCTTGCCTGTCAGCACGCATGCCGCCCCTCGCCGGTACGGTTGCGACCCCAGACCCGCGCGGCAAGCTGAGGGTGGGGCGCACCACCACGGGCATCCGGTTGCACCCGCCCAACTCCCTCATGCCCACGCGCGTTCCCAATTCACAACCCACCGCGCGCACGCCTGGGCGCACACGCACCCCAACTCGCAGGTATGTTGACCTCCCAGTCGGCCTCCTCTTCACGGTGCGAGCTTCCCGCCCTCCGCTCCCACTTGTGCCGGGAGCAGCCCGATTGGAAACACGGCTGATTGATTTGCATGTTTACGGGTGTGTGCGAGTGTGTGCGTATGTGTGTCTGTGCGGGTGTGCATGTGCGGGTGTAGTGGGAGGGATGAGAGTGTTTGTATGGTTTGTCCACAGTGCCACGAAGCCGCCGCATGCGACGGCAGCCGCCGCCGCGGCCGCGCCCGGCCCGTGGGCGCGGTGCCCTCGGTCTGCCGCCGGCGGCCGCGGCGGCCCTCCCCCCTCGGTGGCGCGCTCGTAGCGCTGTGCGGCCCGTCGCGCCCCCGCCCCCTCCTTCCCCCCCGCCCTTCTGACGGTTCGCGACTTTGCTGCTGGATGGTTGCAGATTGGCGGCAGCGTGGTGATGGGCTGCTGGTCCTCCACCGCGGGCGCCCTGACTGCCTCATTAGCATCAATGATCCCTTGTGAGCAGCAAGGTCGCAGTGCAGGGGAGGGGCAGGGGCAACCGCTTTTGAAACCTCATGGCCAGGGATTGGGAGGGTGCACTGTGCGCCTTCTGATGAACCCAAGGGCAAGTAAGGGTGCGAGGGTGCCCGCGACTGCCTGGCACGACCCCCCCCCCAGTTCAGCCCATCCTGCAC